TGAATGAGTGTGTTTGAATTAAACGGATGGTGTACGAGGCATAACGCGTGAAAAAGCAAAACGACAAGGGGACATTGACTGGGGATGGTCGCCTCATAGCAGGGGACGGTCGCCTCAGTCATAGGAAGAGGCTGAGACGGGGGTCTCAGAGCCTTGGGGCGGGCGTCTCAATGTAGGGGGACAAGAATAATTCAGAAAGGCTGGAGGCGTGCGTCTCAATGCAGGGAATCTCTAATGCAGGGAATCTCATGCTTTGTATCTTTTCTTACATGCATAGAGGTGTGTCTCCAAGCAATAATTGAACAAATGCATGTGCCTTGGTTTAGGAGCAGATATGGGAACAAATATATATGCATTTTCTAACGGGACATGTGTGATATAACCATTTTAATAATGATAGGTCTTAATAGCAGATATAACAGTCCTAGAATAACACTGGTTTTAATACGTGTCACATACACACATTAGTGTTATATAGGAATATATATTATAGACACTATAAGTACAACCAAAATTAAGATAGTATAGAAGGAAATAAAATTGCATGAAATTAAGGGAAATAGAAGTTGCATTATACCGAAAACAAAAGCAATGATACAAAATTAAATTCTGGAAATTCAAATTCTGAAATTAAAAATTTGAAATTAAGAAGGAATAGAAAATTCGTGGGTTGTCTCCCACACAGCGCTTGGTTTAACGTCAACAGCTCGACGGTTCAGGAATATAAGTGCTCATGGTGGTTCTCTCGAGAGTGACTCCTCAGTCGAACTTTTAGTGATGATTGTTTTCCATGGCCACTTATCAAGCCATCTCACATATCCCTCACCTTTCCTTTTCTTTCTTCTATAGGGTAGTTCGTTCTTTTGAGCTTGTGGTGGTGGTTCCGGATCTATCCTAAGTATCAACTTTTCAAGTTTGGGCTTAGTAATTTCATCCACCACCTCAAAGGTTAACCTTATCCTTTTAGCGGTAATTATCTCCTTGGTTTTATGGTCTTCTGATTTTCTGTATTTATGCGAGACTTCGAATAATGGTGCATTGGTGTGGACGATTTTCCATATCTCTACATATGTTTTAGATTGGGAGTTTACCAGAGTTTCCCTAAAACTTTCTGGGGAAGGAATCAGTGGGGTGTAGTGATTTAGAATAACAATAGGCGCTTCTTCTCCTTCTATAACTTCATCAACCTCCTTATTGGGTTCCGTTAGCGGATTGTTATTTTCGGAACTCTCCTCAACTAAGATATCGTTATCCTCAAACTCATTATCACTCTCAGGGCTTTCAAATTGTTTTTCACTAACGGTTGCTTCAACATCCACATGCTCCTCGGGGAAAGGTCCTAGAGGATTTTGTGCGAACATGGAAATTTGGGTCTCCATGGCCATGTTGTGAGTCACGAGGGACTCAACCACATTGTTTAGCTGCCTAAGGGTTTGATCATTTTGAAGGCTTCGATTTCTTATCGCTTCATTTTGGATAGTTTGTGTCTCTATAAAGTTCTCTACCATAGATTCTAGTCTAGAGTGAGTTAGCGTCTCTTCGAAATCCTCCATTGATGTTGTGAGGCCGAAATTATCGAATTCATGTGGTTCCTCAAAGTGAAATTGCCTTGCTTTTAGTGTTTCCGCAAAATGCTTCATCTTCATAGTCTCTAGCCTAGAGCGATGCAGTGTCTCTTTCATTAATGCGTTGAGAACTGGATATTGGGGCTCGTACGATTCCTCAGAATATTGGGCGTGATGATTGTAGAGGAAATTTGGTTGAGAATAAGTTAGGTTGGAAGTATAAGATTCTTGCGATCCCTCAGAATATTGGGATTGGTAGTTGGGGAGATAATTCGGGTGAGAATGAATTTGTGATGCATGGAAACTTTCCAATAGTATTTCGAGATCAGATTTATGGGATTCTTGTGGTACCTCGAAATACTGAGGTTGGAAATTATAGAAAAAGTTTGGGTGATACATTGTAATTTACGAAAGAATGCCTTAGTCTCTACGGTGTAACTATAAGAGTTACGATATCGACTTAAATAGTCCCCGGCAACGGCGCCAAAAACTTGATCGCGACTTTGTATGTCTATAAATCTGCAGACTGCAAGTGCACAGTCCTATCGCGTAGTTTTAAAGATATCGAATCCACAGGGACTATAAATCGACCTGCCGCGTTCTTAGGATACTATGTAAAGCTAAGGCTAATAATAATTTAATTGTAAAGGGGGAAATAAAAACTAAATCTAGTTATAAATTTAATTATAAATACCGGTATGTATTTCACCTAACTTTGGGTTCCGAATTTCCATTGGCTTTTATTTAAGTTGATCAAAAATTACCTTTAAGCAAACCTTATTTGTTTAAAAACCTTCCCCTCACACTTCCGTTTTATTAGTTCAGATTATGCAATTAATACCCTAACGTGTGCTTCTGTCACTCCGCCGGATTCAAAAGCAATTTTTGAAAACAGAATAAAATTTAATTGTTTTTAAAATGCTTCCGCCTCTTTAAAAACAATGCCTAATAATCACTATCTGGTTTTAGCCTCAAACTTCCGTTCTATTAGTAAAAACCTTAATCAATTTCAAAACCTCAAACTTCCGTTCTATTGATTTATAAAATCTTAAACAATTCAATTGAATATTAAAACCATGAAAGGTATTTCTTTTACAAAATAATATTAAGCCAATTTATCTCGGATCCCGTTATTTGGTTAATTTACATACCGATATTTAATCGGTTTAGCCGGACATGTTTATTAAATTAAATACGCATAGATAATTAAATTGCGAACAATTATATAAATTCATATCTATAATAACAAACATGTAATAATAATAAATAAATAAAAGCGATTAAATTAAAAACCTGGAAATGTAGAAAACTTCAATAACTTCAATTAAATGCGTTCTTCAAAAACCTTGGAGTATTCCACCACAAGCCGGTTGGATCTACTCGTCGAATCTTGAATTTAATAATAATAACAACAAAGAAATAAAATACTAAGATCTAACGTAAGGTTAGATCCAATAAAAATACACAATAGTTTCCGGCGTGGAAACTATTGTGAGGAAAGAAACTGCCTAAAAAAACTATGAAATAAAATAATAAAAGAGCTCTGAACGGTTGAATAGAAAATGTCCAACCCCTTTCACATGAATACTCCTCTCTTTATATAGTGATAACTTCTGGAAGTTTATTACGTGAAGTAGTGGAGATCATGGGGAAGTTGAGAAAATCATGGGGTGAGTGGGTCTTCAACGTGCATACAAGGAGAAAATAAAGGAAGGAAGTGGGACCGGTCGTTCCGTTTGAAGAGGGAAGTGGCGTGAAAATAGCAAGGGCGTGGGAACGGTCGTCCCACTCAGCTGAAGTGGGCTGGACCGGTCGTTCCCCTTAGTGGGCCGGTCGGTCCCTTCAAGCTGAAGTCTTGGGCCTTTGTACGTACATTCTTCTTTTGGGCCTTGCAATTTCATTCTTTTCACCCCCCTTTTACTAATCTGCACCACATTGCTCAATTATCTTCATTTTTGTACTAAATTGCATCCATTTCTTCATCTTTCTTCACAAAGCCCTTAATTAATCAACAATCTGCAAAATAAACAAATACCAGCATAATACCTATATAAAAATAATTAAATTAGAATAAAATAGGGAAATAATTAATGTAAATCAAGCTAAAAATACGATACAATTACGTGTTATCAATTTCTATATGTTGAATTTGAATGAGTGGATAAATTTGAATTTGTAGGCTCCTGAAGAGTGGCGTACTTACTGGGCAGTAGGATGTATTTGTTTGTGGATGTGACGAAATAAGGAAGTACGTGAAGAGCATTATCAAAGACCTTACTATCCAATTTCCTACATTTATCAACAGGTAAAGGATTATGGAAAAGCTATGAGTACTCGTAATATTGCGATTGATAGGGAAAGGGAAGAGGTTTCTTTCAAGTGGATGCCGCTCATGGAAAATTGGGTTAAATTAAACACTGATGGGGCAAGCAAGCAAAGTGGAAAAGCTAAGCGTGGGGGAATCATTCGGGACCATCATGGAAATCCAAAGGGAGGTTTTAGGAGGAATGTTGGCTATTGCAATGCTTTGTGAGCATAGTTATGGGGGATTATTGAAGGTTTAAAGATGACAAAGATAATGGGGTTCATGAAAGTAGAGTTAAGCATTAATGTTAGTTTTGTTGTCAATACTTTGATTGCTAGAAGTACGATGGATGTGGATAGCTACAACATGTTTCTTCGAATTTATAAGTTGATGGATGAACATGATAAAGTCATGGTTAGTCATAACTATAGGGACGCTAATCAGTGCGCTGACGCGCTTGCTAATCTGAGAATTGATAATTTGGAGGATGTAGACTTTAGTGAAGTCATTCCTTCATGTATTAATCAGTTTGTAGTTCGAGATACTTCAAAAGATCTTTACTCTAAAAGTGTCATAGTGTAGTTTTTCTTTTCTTCTCTTTCAACTTAGGATCTCTCTGTAACAATTTTTTTTTATCCATATGTCATCTTTCCTCATGTGCGTCTTAGTAGGTAGTATCAATTTATAACCCACTTTCCATAACTAATAGACCTTGATCTTAATATTGCATAACTTGAATTGCTATATTTCCTCCATTTCTCATGATTATTTTGATCATAGTATTATTGCGTAACTATTAAGATTTATTTGAGTTTTTTTATCTTTTACATACACCTGAAACTTGATACTTGATAGTTAGTAAAATAGTTTTGCTTAAAGCATGCAATGCAGCAAGTGCGTTACCGTTAGCACCAAAATCATATAAATAAATAGACCAAAAAAAATAACATCCTAACGAAAGGGATCATCTCCCTCTCCCCTCTCTCAAACTCCTTCATCTAAACCCCAAATCTCAACGTCAATTTCATCTTCCATATCACTCTAATTCAACTTCAACACACTTCTAAACCCTAATTCCCAACTTCATCACTGGTTCCAGAAAATTAGGGTTTCAATTCAACAATCAAGAAATGGAAGAACCAAAGGAGGAACCGTGGGACTCCTCCTCCTCATGGTCACGTTCTGTTAGCGAAACAGTAAATGGGTCACACGAATTAACGATAAAGGGTTATTCTTTATCGAAAGGAATGGGGGCTGGAAGGTACATCACCAGTGACACTTTCAGCGTTGGTGGTTACGATTGGGCTGTTTACTTTTACCCTGACGGAAAGAATCCTGAAGATAATTCCGTGTATGTTTCCGTTTTCATTGCACTTGCTAGTGAGGGTACTGATGTTAGGGCTTTATTCAAATTGACATTGCTTGATCAAACTTCAAAGGGGAATCATAAAGTTCATAGCCATTTTGATCGTCCTCTTGAGAGTGGTCCTTATACTCTCAAGTACAGAGGCAGCATGTGGTTCGTAATAAAGTTCATCTCTTTGTGGTTTTAGAATTTTAGGTTTTTCAGTTTGGTGTGAATTTTATACCTTTTGTGTTGTAGGGGTTACAAGCGTTTTTTTAAGAGGTCGGTGTTGGAGAATTCGGAGTATTTGAAGGATGATTGTCTTGTTATGCATTGCACGGTTGGTGTTGTTAAGACGCGGTTTGAGAGATCGAAACATGGTGTTGTTGTGCCTGCTTCTGATATGGGTAAAGATTTTAAGGATTTGTTTGAGTCTCAAGTTGGTTGTGACATTGTTTTTAAGGTCAAGAGTGAATGCTTTAAGGCTCATAAGTTGATTCTCGCTGCTCGGTCGCCTGTGTTTAGAGCTCAGTTTTATGGACTTGTTGGGGATCCTTGCTTAGAGGAAGTAGTGGTAGAGGATATTGAACCCTTTATCTTCAAGGTAGGTTGTTATCATATATGATGATATATTTGGACAGTGAATTGATTCTGCATTTTTACTTTATATGAAAAAATAGAATGCTTAATCCTATTTGTGATGTATGAACCATAACCATACTAGCTAGTTCGCAATTTTCTTTGGTACATGGTACAGGTTTGGGTAGAAGGGTGAGGTATATATACTTGGTACATTCTTTTGATACATTGTAATTCCTAATATTATGATTGGTAGGCAATCAATAATTTATACGATAACAATGGCCCTACATTGAACGTTAAAAACCTATAACATAGTATCACTAGGTTATGCTTTCAAACCAACCTATTTAAAAAGTTCCACATTGGAGATTAAAACAACATATAGGAACATCGACTATAAAAAAAGAGAGCATATATATAAGATCTTTTTGTGCATTATTATTAAGCAGATTGATTGAGTGAAAATCCTGTTATTGTTTTTTTTCCAGGCAATGCTTCTCTTCATTTACTCGGACAAAATTCCTGAAATCTATGAGGTTATGGGCTCAATACCTATGTGCTCTTATACTGTCATGGTGCAGCATCTATTGGCTGCTGCTGATCTCTATAATCTTGATAGGCTAAAAATGTTGTGTGAATCAAGATTGTGTGAAGAAATGAATACGGAGACCGTAGCTACAACACTTTCCCTGGCCGAGCAACATCACTGTCCACAGCTCAAGGCAATCTGTTTAAAATTTATTGCAAATTCAAAAAACTTGGGAGGTGCGTATTATTACAGGTTATTGTTTGTATGGTGTTTCTGATTTAATGCAGGGGTTTAAAATTTTGTAGTAATGCAGTCTTTGTCTGTCATTGTTCATTTATAAGTAGTATCTATCTATATTCACATCCAAAATTAATTATGACCTGAGATCCTTTTGAATCTCATTCCTTCCTTGAGTGTCCTTTTTATACTTAATGCAGTCTTTGTCTTTCACTGTTCATTTATAAGTAGTATCTATCTATATTCACATTCAACATTAATTATGACCTCAGATCCTTTTGAATCCCATTCCTTCCTTAAGTGTGCTTTTTATACTTAATGCAGTCTTTGTCTTTCATTATTCATTTCTAACTAGTATCTGTCTAGATTCACATTCAAAATTAATTATGGCCTGAGATCCTTTTGAATCCCATTCCTTCCTTAAGTGTGCTTTTTATACTTAATGGAGTCTTTGTCTTTCATTATTCATTTATATCTAGTATCTATCTAATATTCACCTTCAAAATTAATTATGACCTGAGATCTTTTTGAATCCCATTCTTTCTTTAAGTGTGCTTTTTATACTTTATTTTTATTTCTGTGAATCTTTTGGAAAGATCTCATCTCAGAAGCTTCATGATTACCTTTATTTGAGTTATCAAGTTAGGAAGGAAGAAAAGATGGAGGTAAGGGAATAATATAAGTAAGTAGATATTTTTGTGAAAAGTATGTCGTTATCTGTGTGTGTGCATATGCAGTGGATATCGATGAACTGGTTCAGATGACTAAAACAAGTCTGTCGATGACAAACCCGGCCGACATACACAATGTATAGCAGCGACTTACTTTGTTGGTTACCAACGAGCTAATGTATACCCAGCCAATAGTATTATGGAAAAATGTCAAAGCTTTTATGAAGGAAAAAAACTGGCCCGGTGTTTTATATCTCCGAGGCTTGAGCTATTAAATGTCCATTGAATATTGAGGCTTGGAATTTGGAAAGCAAAAGCTTTATTCCCTTGCTAATTTTCAGAGGTTACTAGAACCGTTTCTGTACGAGAAGAAACTACTAGTACTGAAGCTGAAAAATGAGAAATAGTATAGAGGATGAGAAACTGAGAAGCAGGGAAAAGGAAGAGGACAGACGATTCTTCGTCAGTTGTACGGCTGCTTCAATCTTCCATATTATGTGTTTTTTTCCGTAAGTCGTGGCTCTGTCTTATTCAATTCAGACTGAGCCTGATTCGGCGACTCTGTTTGTGGCCGCAAGCATTGGCAACTCTGCGTCTCCCACCAGTCCCACTGCGAGCACTGGCCGCATTCATCTCCCATGGCTCTGATCTTCTTGCTCTCTTCTTTCTCTTAGTTCTCATTTCCATGCATCTCCCATGACTCTGATCTTCTTGCACTCTTCTTCTTTCTCTTAGTTCTCATTTTCATGCATCTCCTAGGACTGATATTCTTGCTCTCCTCTTCTTTTTCTTATTTTTCATTTTCGGTTGTATTGTGATGCTCTATTCTTTGGGTAATGGTACTGATGGATCTCGGCAGCTCCTTAGTTATAGAGATATGGAGGTAGTGAACAAGAATAGGGTTTCAATAGTGAAAGAGGATATAGGTCCTGACCAAATCAAACCACCTGGAGAAACCAACATCCAACCAAACCAATGACATAAGCTGATGAAGATGGGTCTAGATGCAGTGATATCGTTTGTGGTCGTTTGGCATTTTTTTTGTCTGAACACGACTTAAGGTGACCATCTCACTTAATCAGTTATGTTTGTACCTCTCTTGGTGTTTTCGTGTATACCATCTCACTTATCAATTGATGTTATTTTTTGTCTTAATTTAATTTACTTAATTATTGACGTGTATTTTCGAGAACGTAATTTTTATTTTACATTACCCTCTAATAAGACCAAGAAGGCGGTGAGTGAAGCAATAATCCAATCTTTTGATGGATTATACCATTTGTTAGGAACCAAAGTGGGAGAAAAATCTACATGTATGTTTGCTAAGGGAAGAGAGAAAGACATGAGATTTAGATCAAGTGAAGTGTCTTAAAGATGAAAACGACAAAGTTTTGGTTTAGAAAAAGGATATAAATGGCAGGTGGAAGATGTATTTCTACAATCTATCTAATGAAGGATATGATATCTCATCAGACTCTAGCAGACTCAACATTAGAGAAGAGTGTTGAAACTATAATTATTACTGCAGATTCAAATATACGAGATGAAAAGAAGCGTAGAATAGAATGAGTAACAATAAGTCGGTTGGGCCAGACAACATACTTATTGAAGTGTGGAATTCTTGGAGATAGAGGTATTGAGTGGTTCACCAAACTCTTTCTCGAAATTAGGAGGTCAAAACAAGTGTCCGATGAATGTTGAAGAAGCACTTTAGTTCCAATCTATAAGAATAAGGGGATATACAAATCTGTGCAAATTATAGGGGGATTAAACTTATCATTTATACCATGAAGTTATGGAAAAGAGTGATTGAATGGAGATTAAAAAAAGAGACTCAAGTTGAGAATCAATTTGGCTTTATGTTTGGCAGGTTGACTATGGAAACGATCTATCTACTATGACGTGTGATGGAGCAATATCAGATGGATCAACAAGACTTGCACTTAATTTTTATTGACTTGGAGAAGACGTATGATAGATTGCCTAGAGGAATTTTGTGGAAAACCCTAGAGAAGAAAGGGGTTAGGATTGCATATATTCGAGCTATCCAAGATATGTATGAAGAGATATCGACTAGTGTGCTGACACAAGGTGGAGACACTGACGATTTTCCCGTTACAATAGGTTTGCATCAAGTCTTAAACCCTTACTTTTTTACTTTAATTTTGGATGTACTCACAAAACACATCTAACAGCTGCACCGAAATGCATGCTTTTTGGAGGTGATATAGTTTTACTTGGAGAGTCAGGAGGATTTAAATGAGATGTTGGAGACTAGTAGACAAGTTTTAGAAACTAAAGAAACAAACAATCTGTATTTCTTTGATATTGTAGTAAGTAATACATGAAAGGTATTTATAGAATACAAGGGACAAATCACTTTAAATGCTAATTCTAAATGCTAATTCTAAATATGGTAGAAGACAACTAATTACTAATTATTAATAGCTAATTACTAATTATTATTTACAATGAATATTATGATGAGTTGTATAACACAGAATCTGTTGATAGATTCTGTACTTATCTCTCTAACAACTTCAACAGAAACGCATGGCTTTCGCCTAAGCAGAAGGGAGACAAAAGCATATGGAATGTAAGTTCAACAAAAAGAGAAGTGTTTCTAACTTAGAGTTGAAAATTGGAGACCATATTATCCCACAAGTCACACGCTTTAAATATTTTGTATCCGTAATACAAAACAATGGAGAAATAGAAGGGGATGTAAACCACCAAATTCAAGCGGGATGGCTAAAATGGAGGCGGACTTCAAAGATTTTATGTGACACGAAGGTACCGCTCAAGTTGAAGGAAATTTTTTATCGGATTGTGGTAAGACCTGCGATGTTATATGAGACAATGTTGAGCGATTAAGCCAACACAAGAATAAAGTAAGTGTAACTGAGATGGGGATTTGCGTTGGATGTGTGTTAAGACTAGCCATGATAGAATTAGAAATGACAATATTAGAGAGAGTGTCGGGGTAGCACCTATAGTAGAAAAGATGGTGAAAAATAAACTTAGGTGGTTTGACATGTAGAGAGAAGACCTGTAGATTATGTGGTAAGGAGAATAGATCAGATGGAGGGAAATCAAATAGCTAGAGGTTCAAGAAAATCTTGAAAAACTATAAGAGAAGTTATTAAGAAAGATATCGAGATTAATGATTTGAATCAGACGGTGATGTGTGTCAAACAGTTCAGATTTCATAATTGTGTTTTGAGGTTTTTATGACATGTTATTTAAATTTGAATTTTGCTCGTCGCCTACTTGTAAGGAGTTTAGGCCTTGCTCTTTTTGCCTTTTTGAAGCATTGAAATTTCAACTTCTGAATACTTGATTGATTATTATGCTTTGTGCAGCTGTAATGCAATCCGAAGCTTTTTTGCATTTGAAAGACAGCTGCCCTACAATGTTAATGGAATTGCTGGAGATGTTTGCCTCAGTGGATCATAGCTCAAGCCTGTTGTTGAGCAGGAAAAGAAGTGTCAGTAGCATATACGGGCAGGATTTAACCGATGGAGGGGCAGCAGAATCAGTCAATCCAAATAGCAGGCGTATCAGGAGGCGGACTTAATATTAGTTTACTCAGTCTGGATCTTCAACTGAAATACAAACCCTTAGTTATGGAACTGCTTGTCAAAACGAGTAATTCATGGTTTTCTTTTCACCTGATTTGTGAAGTTTCTACCATTCTACCTTGTCTCAAAGAGCTACTCTGGACAGCATTTTCAACTGTAGTCTGACATTAGAACAGTTCTAAATTTCCAATGTAGGGTTTATTATGTTTGATGAGTTCAATAAATAATATAATAAATAGTTGACATTCTGTTTTTACAAAGATGTCTTGGAACGAAACGGTCTTCCTTTTGAAGTTGTTATATACTAGTTGGATAGTACAACTATCCCCATTTTGTTGCCCCTACATAACTACTGGGTTTTGTGGTGTGTATGTATGGAGTATTATTCAATCTGTAGATGGCTGATATTTTCGGTTCTGCCTTGTCTTGCTCTCATCTCTTATGTACTCAGACATGAAATACCTAAATGGTTAAATGAAAAAAAGATTTTAGTTAAGATATAGTTTCAATTTCAAGTTATTAATAGAATTGCTTAATTTGCTCATTGTCTCATAAATAAATTTATACAATATATACTCATTAAATAAATCCATGCAACATATTTAATATTTAAAAAAATTATATAACATTTTTGAAATGATAATAATTCACCATAAAAATATATTCATTCTATATATTCAAAATAATAAGGTAGTGATAATTCGCCATTATAATAGTTCACCTTTATATATAAATACATCAATATTGAAATTAAATGAATTAGTATAATATATTCAAAATGATAATAATTTACCATTGAATACAAATAAATTTATATTAAATATTAAAAATGATGATAATTTATTATTAAACACAAATAGAATCATTGTGGAACTAAATTTATTATTATACACTGTACAACTTAATTATTCAACTAGGTTTGAATTGTGGTTGAACATATAATAATTAATATATATTATATGATATATAAATAGAAAAAGAAAAATAATAATAAAGAATTATATTTTATGTCCCGCAATATAAAAATTTAATATTAATGAGAAAGTGTGAAGATAGAAAGAAATAAGAAAGAGTATAAGAAAAGAGAAATAAATGAGAAATATAGTAGATTTGAAGTGTTGTTTAGTATAAAAGAAGGAGAAGTGAAATAGAAGAGAAAGAAATGTGTTAATTTTTAAAAAGATAAAAATGTCCTTAAGTTAAACATTGATAATTTATTATAAGTACAATTTTCTTATAAATTATTAATATTTTATCATTAATATATAATTAAAATTAAAAAATAAAACAAATATATTTTTCAAAAAATTAAACTAAATGCCTTTTTTTTCCTCAAGCTAAAGTTTTTTTTTAACATTTTTAAAACAATGGAACAAAAATCACCTATAATTTTTATTTTTTTTTAAATTCTACTATCAATTGAAATTAATGTTCCTATTAAAAATCTAACGGAAATAAGTTCCTTTCTTTCCTCTTTCTTTTCATATTAGGAGAGAAATAAAAAAAAGTGTAAGTCTCACTTCTTTTAGGCCTCTTTGCAAGTTCTCTTTATACCAAGCAAAAGAAATACAACCTTTCTCTCTAACTTATCTTTCCTTAAATTCTCTGCTTTCAACTTCACTTATACGAAACACACAAATAAAATTATTCATATATTTGTTTCATTAGAATAAATTGATAGTTATAAAGACATGCGATTGCATGAGCGAAAATTTAGTCTGCGATATTAAATTTATTTATTTTTAAAAAATATAATCGATATATTAATCATTAATTAATTCAATAGTGATTGATATATGATTTAGTAGAGAGAATTACAGTTTAATCTCTCACAAATGTCACTTATGATCAAGGAGGTTCGAGAACTTACTCTCAAATCAGACATATAAAAACAAAAAAAATTGAATTTATTTATTTTAAAAAAAATATAATCTACATATCAATTATTAGTTAATTCAGTGATAATTAATATTAAATTTAGTAAGGAAGTTTGCAGTTTAATCTCTCGCAACTATCGATTATAATCGAAAGGAGATTCAAAAAATGACTCTCAAATAAAAAAAAAAAAAAATCGAACATTGAATTTATTTATTTTTAAAAGATGTAATTTTGGCTAAATAAAAGACAGTTAAAGTTTTATAACTTTTCTTATCTAGTGTTTTGATTACAACATTTTTTCATTATATTATCCAGCTTAGATATCGATTATAAAATCAATTAATTGCAACTTTCAATTAAATTAAATTCAACTATAATTTAATAAATTGTTTGAGTAGTTTGTCTAAACACAGTACTGTAGTATAATTATTATAGTAAAATTTACATTTGCCGACATCAATGGTACGGATTGCCGACATCAATGGTACGGATTGCCGACATCAATGGTTGTGAATACTACGAACAAACATATAGTAACTGTTCTAACTGGTCACGAGTTTCTTCTGGATAGTTGATATAATTTAGATTTTGATGAGTTCGTTACCCATCGTCTTATCCTGTTCCCCGACTACGCCAATTATTACTCTGCTGTTCTCAGCCATAGTACACTCTGAATCACAAGTCAAATAAATAATGTTAAATAATGTTTTCCAATCTAAAACATGTTTTAAGTGTTTGAGTTTTAGAATTTGAATACAGACTTTCAATAAGTTGGTTGAAAATAGCATATTAATAATTGGTGTGGTCATGGTCAGGACAAGACAATTGGGTAACAAACCCATCTCAATTAAAATTATATGAACTATCCAGAAGAAACTCGCGAGCAGTTAAACCATTGGATGTTTATATTCTCAATCACTTGTCTTATGGTGTAAGATGGCATTTCATCATTGATGTCGGCAGACCGTACGATTTCTTATCACTGACATTTGTTGATGATTGTCAATTATTATAATAGTAATTGAAAGTCTTTTTCTATCTTAACAGTAACATGGTTAAGATGCCCGATGAAGCGAATTTTTTACTGCCACTTTATTAGATACAAAATACTAAACTACCACACTAGTTTATCTATAATATCAAAATACCACGATTTCAAAAAGAAAAAAGAAAAACTAAAAAAAAAACTGTAAAGTGGTACTTCTGCACCCTCCTACAAAACAAGAACATCCGTATAAGGGTGTTCGCGGTGCGGTTTGAGCGGTTTTGAAATAAAAAATCATCTGAACCACAAGAGAAAAAAACATGCGGTTCGATTTGGTTCGATTGACTTTTAAAAATAAATCCGAACCAAACCAAATCAAACTAATGCGGTTTTGATTGGTTCGATTTTTTACAAAAATAATTATTATGTCATACATACAAATATATAGGAAAATATAATTTTATATTTAATTGTTCATACATTACCATAAAAAATTTATAATTGTCAAAATAAATTTATAATTTGATACATAAAATTGCGTATTATAATTTTATCTAAATATAAATAATGATATCAACAAGATTGCATTCTTAAATAAATATTATACAAAGAATATAATAAAATATATTTTGTGAAAATAGTATTTATAAATAAATAATATTTTATTTTTTATGATTTGTAAATTAAAATAAATATAATACAAAGTATGATAAAATATACACATAATACATGTTGATTTCTCTAAAGAATTATAGAAATATATATTGGTTAGTAAGATTTTATAACATAATGCGGTTTTGTTTGGTTTGGTTTGGTTTGTAAAATACAAACCGCAAACCGAACCGAACCATGCGGTTCCACGAGAAAATGACCCAAACACATCCGAATCAAATGCGTTTTTTTGCGGTTTCGGTTCGGTTCGGTTCGGTTTTGCGGTTTTCTATTGGGCCAGTTTGGTTTTGAACACCCCTACATCCGTCTATTGAAAGGACAGAATTGTATAAAACATTATTTTTTTTTTAAATTAATATTTAAATTGAAAAAAAATATTAAAAAAATATTTTAATTATTAATAAAATATTTAAATATATTTGATCTTATCAGTTGATCAGAACTTGCAAATAAATCAAAAAATAACGTGTGGTTTGCTGGAAAGTTGAGGAGAAAAAAAGAATTGTACCTGTAAGACACTCTCACGATTAAGTAAGAATGAGTGTAAAGAAATACAAGCAGAATATTAGGATTTAAGGTTTGAATATTGAATGTCTGATCCTCACATTGGTGAAGGTTTATATAATGTCCCCAGCGTTTGACTATTGGTTTTTATTTTTGGGCCTAGATAAGCGGGTCCGCAAAAATAGATAACAACCAAGACTTGATCAAAACGGGAAGTCGTGTTCGTAACTAGCCGTTTGTTCTGAGGAGGAGGCAGATTACGGACAGAGAGGCGTTTTGGACGTTTCCTAGTTGTCTGCTCGACTCGTGTCGGGCAGACAAAGAGATAACTGCTGACTTGGGCAGGCGTGCGTATCGGACATCGTTGGTCGCGCTTTTTGAGGCGTGGTCGCGCTTTTTGAGGCGTGGTCGACCGAGGATGTTGGGCCAGTGTTATTGGGTCGTGCCAAGGGTAGAAGCAGATTTGGTCGATTCTAACTATTGGGCCAGTCCAGAACAAGAGCCCCTAAGTCGTTGCTCCTAGGCATATGAGTGATGACTTAGAGTCAGTCAGCGAGGGGTCGGGGACGCTTCTGAACGTGCTTAGGGCAATTGTGTCGAGGAGTTCGTACGTGATTTTTGTTGCTCGTCACGCGGGAGCCGAATAGGTGATTAGACCTTCGAGAGGTGGCGTGTCATGCATGCTCCGAGCCACGTGTTGTCATAAAGTTGTAATGATGACAAGTCTAGGAACTAAGGCGTAATGATGACGACCTTTAGGTTTCTCTAGACGCGTGCTCGCCCACGCGCTAGTGAGTCAGTCTATAAAAGGGGGAGATGAAGCCTCATTTGTACTTTTCGCTTGTTCTCACTTTGTTCGACTGACTTGTTTCTGCTTGATGTTGGTTTCCAACGATGCTTTCGTTCGCTCCTCCGCTCGCCGCTGTAGATACATGTTCGCTACCGCCATCATTCCTT